TGCCAGGGGATTGGCCCTCCTAAAACTGTATTAACTTGTTACTGGTGAAAAATCTGGCCATGTCGATTTATTTTTTAAAAATCAAAGATCCTCAAAAAAAAAATCTTTTTGAAGAAGCAGATCAATTGAAATAGGATTCTTTAAAAAAAAATGAACTCGCTGAATATTTTTGTTTCGGGAAGGTTTCCCTTGTATGTTTGTACAACCTTGGTTGTTTCTTTATAGCGAGGGCAACAAGCACACACGAGGATGGCACTTCATGTAACTGACATCATGGTACTGACATCATGTAACTGACATCATGTAACTGACATCATGTAACTGACATCATGTAACTGACATGTAACTGACATCATGTAACTGACATCATGTAACTGACATCATGTAACTGACATGTAACTGACATCATGGTACTGACATCATGTAACTGACATCATGGTACTGACATCATGGTATTGAGTTCATAGTACTGACCTGTCAGTGACATCATAGCACTGACAGCATGATCATAGCATTGACAGCATGTCACTAACAGCGTGGTACTAACAGCATGTCACTGACAGCGTGTTACTGACATCATGTCACTGACAGCATGACACTTACGCAAACAATTTTTGTGTTCCAGTTTACCAGAGAGTCACTGCGAGACTTGGAGAGGATCGAGGGCCGGAAGTTGGTCATCACGTGCGACGGCTCGAGTGGTCAAGCGGCCAGACTGCTGGGGCTCAGCGATGAGTTCGCCCAGCACACGTGTCGGGCCTACGGGGCCGTGGCGGCGCTGGACAGGCTGGACGAATGTCAGGTGCCCATGCCGGTAGGTTCAAGGTGTCATGACAGTAGGTTCAAGGTGTCATGACAGTAGGTTCAAGGTGCCCATGACGGTAGGTTCAAGGTGTCATGACGGTGGGTTCAAGGTGCCCATGACGGTATGTTCAAGGTGTCATGACGGTAGGTTCAAGGTGTCATGACAGTAGGTTCAAGGTGTCATGACGGGCGTTTCAGGAATATTTTTTCTAAGACTGACATCACAGTGGGGCAGTCAACGCAAAGGTGTTCTAAGATTAATTTAATTCAAAGTTACATGCGTCACTCCGACAGTTCAACAACAGGCCAATCTCTCACTAAAACACAACGCCTTATTACAAAACACCTAAATCAACACTAGAGGCAGAACCTCTGATGTTTTTTGAAAGCTAAAATATATTTTTTAAAGATTATATTGAGTTTTCAAGGTATTTATAATACAGAGCACAGTCATTTTTTTCTCGCTTTTAGTTGTAGGGTAGATAATCCAAATATTCCTCAATTTATCGAGTTCTCTTGTTTACTTCCCCTTTTCCCAGTTTGAATTGTATGTAATATTAATATTCTCACTATCACCTCCCCATTCCAGGAGCGTCTGGTCCACAACTTGCACTTTGACCTGACGGCGTATGGAGCCGAAACGTCTGAGGTCGATGGCTACCAGGGGTTCACATTTAAAGTCTTTGGCACCTCACGGCACCGCTACATGGCTCTGTCGATACCAAAGTGTGAATCCCCTCAAGTCAAGAGCTTGAGAACCGTTTTAGATAGATCTGTAAGTTGTAGGTTATAGTTGCAAGTTGTCAAAGTTATTATCAGTCTTACGGTCACACCACTTATTGAAAACTTAATAAAAACAAGCTAAGACATCCATACTTTATTATATATTTTAAATCTTTTATTTAGACCTACATAACTATAGTTCAAGATAGAATTTTGTTATGGGCTGATGGATTAAAAATAAAGTATCAATATTTTAATCAAAAACATAGGTTTATATTTTTTAATTTAAAATTTACATGTCTAATTTAGAACTAACACTAGCTAAACTATTACATGTCTAATTTAAAACGTTAACTCTAATTAAAATAATTTATCTCTAATTTAAAACTAATTAGAATCTAATTAAAATATTAGATATCTAATTTAAAACTTTCTCTAGTTAAAATAATTCATCTCTAACTTAAAGCTCTAATTAAAATCTTAAATCTCTAATGTAAAAAGCATATGTCCCCAGATGATGCGTAACATTTTCCTCAAATGTTTTAACACATACAAATCTGAGTCGGAACCTCGGCTCAGTGACCCCATGGCAGTGAAACACATGAAGTTCAGTCCCAGACTCTTTGAGGTCAAGCTGTCCCAGAGGGTGGAGACCACGGCCTACTTCCAGGACACCAACATGTTTGTGGCAGCAGAGGGGGAGGCGGCCAGATGCTACAACATTCACACAGGTCTTCATTGTCATCTTATTTACAAAACAAAATATTTTACCTGGCTAGATGCTACAACATCCACACAGGTCTTCATTGTCCTCTTATACCTGGCCATTTACATAACAAAATATTTTACTTGGCCTGTTACTTTAATATTAATACAAAATTTTACCTGGCCAGATGCTACAACATTCACACAGGTCTTCATTGTCGTCTTACTTACATAACAAAATATTTTACTTGGCCTGTTACTTTAATATTAATACAAAATTTTACCTGGCCATCTACATAACAAAATATTTGACCTGCTGATCTACTTAAACAAAATATTTTACATGCCCATTTATTGTAATAAAATATTTGACCTGGCCTGTTAAGAATACTTAAGGTTGATGTGTGTCATTGCTTTAAGTTTTTATAATTTCAATTATTAATAACTGGCTAAGCCAAAATTATGCATCATCTTTTTGAAAAAAAACAACATTTTCTAGTTTAATTAATAAATAAGTTTTTTACTTTTATTTTGCAGGAATGGATGTGAATGTAGGAATCAAAGGGTTAATGAGTCTTTCCAATTTTATATCTGTGATATGTGTGGCCGAGACTGAGCATGCTATAGTCCAAGCACTAATCCAAAAAAACAAGGACGCTGACAGAGTGTGCAAAGACTTTATCCGGTGTGGGCTGGCTGAATATCACCTACTGCGGGGCGGAAAATAATTTATTTTTTTATGATTTATTAATTTCATAATTGATTAATATAATGTTTTGTTAACAGTGTGCCAATGGTTTGATAATTAAATAAATTTCTCTTACAACTTACATGAACGTCTGAATGCTTGCTTGATAACCTCCCTTATATGTGAAATTTTTACTCTATCCTTTTCTTCCAATTCCATTTATTCATTGTGGGTGGCCATAATATATGTGGTCATACTATGTGTGGTCATACAATGTATGGTCAGATAATACGTGTGGCCATACTGTGTGGTCATACTATGTATGGTCATAGTATTCCAGTATACAATGATATTGTAATCCATGCTGTACACTTGTAAGTATAAAGTTCCGTTAATTTCCCATTTTTTTTTAGTCTCTAAACTTCTTAGTGCCAGAATTATTTGGGATTTGCCAGTTTGAATGCTTATGTTCTGATAGTTTTATCAAAAACCTTGAACTCATGCTTTATGATAAAGAAGCAATATGCATTTTTCAATGAAATTTTTTTTTTCTCTGAAAAAGATAAATAAATATTAATAAATTAAAGCGAATTTTTAATTTATAACTGAATCTAATGGTCCCATTTTTACTAAGTCTTTGCTTATCTTAGATCAAATTTACTGTTGACAACAATTTTAATTTTTCCATTTGTTCAAAGAATTTTTTTCTGAAATTTAAAAAAAAATATACTTACAGTTACAAAGTTGAAAAGAATTTATCATTAATTACATTTTCAAACATAAGTTTCTAAGGGTAGGTTTTTAAAAAATGTATATCTATAAGCCTTAACATTCTTTAAACCTTTAAAGATTTTAAAAATGTCCTTAAACTGTCAGAACAAAATAGTAAAAACTAGTGTCTTCCTGAAGAATCCAATGTAAGTTTTTGTCTTTCATAGCTGAGTTGAGTTGGATGTCTGAAACCATCTAAAGAGCAGTGAATTGAAGAAACACACTTTTATTGGTTGGAAGTGGAAGGTGTTTTTCCCCATTAGAAATTTGACTTGGTACTAAACAGAACGTTTGAGCTTAGAGTGGCACCCAGATTTTTTTTACACCTTTAGTTCGATGCTAAAAAGTTTTCAATTGAAACAAGCCACATGATCATTCCCATTCCAAATTTTCACAAAGTTGTCATGTATTGGATTCTGATTATTCCTATTTTAGTTAAAGATGGTTGTAAATGTTTTCAATTTCAAAAACTGACATTTCATTGGCTGCCATACTTTATATTACATATTATTGGAAATCGTTAATTAATTAATGTTCTTGAGATCTCGCAATATAATTAAATCCAGTATTTGAACGGAATTTATGAGACACAAGCAATATATAACTGATGTAATTTTATGATTAACTAATGAATCTCATTTGAAATTAATTTTATTGTGATTAAAATGTTCAATAAAGCAATGTCTTTTACTTTTGTTTTCAATCAACATTTCGAGTGTAAAATCAATGTATATTTCTACTTATAAAAAACCTTGTATTCTCAATAATTCTAGCTACAAGAACACTCATGTACAATGTCAGAAAAGTAGAACGCAAATATTTGATGAATGTTTAAACATAATATTTTGCGCTATTTAAATATTGGAATGAGATTTATAAACTCATTTTTCTCGAGATTATGTTTTCTGGACATACTGCATTTGCCCTCTATACTCTATACCCTCAATTCTTTGTTTCATATTTTATTTAGTTGTAAATTACTCTGTTATTAAAGAAATCATTGATGAAATGATTTATTCCGAGAATGGTGCCTATAATTAAAATTGTGTGTAATGTAACCAGCTAAACTGAAAAAAAAAAAACCTTCCACCACTACACTGTCAACAAAGCCAAAATAACATTTGGTATAAAATTATTTAATACAATTTATATAGGTGTTTTTCTAATGACATGACAAAACTTCTTAACATTGTCATAATAAAGTATTAAGTATAAAGCATTGCAGTCAGACTTGATGCTGGTAGTAGTAAAACCACCATGAACACAGTTTTTATTTACAGAAATTATGTTAAGTACAGTTGCTCACTACACAGATTTGAACATCAGAGCTTTACAACAGATCAAGGTAAAATCACGATAGCGTCGGAAATTATTGGGTAATGTTCGTTGAGTTTCGGTAACATTCGTTACTGTAAACCATAGTTTATTTGACTGTTGAAAGAAAAATAAAGTCAAGTGCATTAAATTAATGTTTTAACTTAATTTAATGTTTAACTGACAAAAAATTAGCAACAATTAGTAAATCTAAATATTTTAATAAAGTCGAGTGTAGTAATTAATGTTTTCTTTTTAAGAAACAGAAAAAAACCTGCAGAAGATTTGCGACAACCAGCTCTAGATTCTAGTTCTGTTAGTAAATAAGACGATTAGATTTACTAAAGTTAAAAGTAGTAAGAATAACTAGAATAATGTTTAGTAGCAGCAATAATTAGCACATACACTTAAAATAATTACAAATAGAAAATAATTAGCAAAACAGTATTTAAATTGCAACTAAAATCAATCCTTGCACATTTTTCAACATTATGTATTAAAAATAATATGGCGGCAAATAAATGATGGTTTACAGTATTTCCGGTGGTTTCCGGAACGGCTCGACAGACTACGCCATGGTTTTACTGTTTTTTACTGCTGTACAGTTCCGGAATAATAACCGACGATATCGTGATTTTACCCAGATCAACTCTCACTAGTCAGGCATGTTTTAACAGTTACTGATATTTTATAATTCACTACATGACAACATTATATCCAGTAGCCGGTAAAACTCCATTTCAGCGTATTTTATTCTCCGTTGCTTGTTTACCTCCAGTTGAGCGTATTTTATTCTAACAACCGAAACTCACCAAAACATTAGGAAAACACGATTTATTTTTTGTATTGTATTTCTGTTTTCACAAATGAATAAAATGAATGTTTAAAAAACACGACTTATTTATTTGTATTGTATTTTTGTTTTAACAAATGAATAAAAAACAACAAAGAGACTGACTGAAGTGCTTTGTTTGTTGGTTACAAAAATAGAGATGCACACTTTGTACAATTAAGTGTTCCAATTTCAACTAAACTGAATAAAAGTATTAAAAGGCACAATGATGCTGCCGAGAGTGGGCCGAGGGGGGGGGGGTGGAATTTGGTGAGGGATGGCTTGGAGTGTTAGAGAAAGTGTGACAACTCACGTTGTCATTTTTAAAAAAATAATGTTAGAGGTCGTCCATAAATGACGTCACACTCGGAAGGGGGGGGGGTAATTTTGTGACGGTGTGTGATGAGGGGGGGGGGGGGGGTTCAGATGGTGCTACGTCATTTTGGGGGGGGGGTCTTGCTTTTTGTGACGACACGCTTTTTTTACGATTTTTACCTCCCCCCTCCCCTCCGTTACACGTCGTCACAAAATGTCAGACCCCCCCCCTAAAATGACGTCACACCTCAGCCTACAACCCCCCCCCTCAAAATTTCTGTTGAATTTTTCTTAAAACATCGATAATTTTTCCAAAATCTTGTCAGAACTCTGTCAACATAGAGTATTTTGATCAATTCATATTACAATTTATTAAAACCGTTTTCTAAAACGCGAATTAACGGCTAAAACTTGTTTTTCTAACATTGCTTTTTTATAATGCAAAAAAGGGACGTCACACCATCTGAAACCCCACCCCCTCCCCCTCATCACACACCGTCACAAAATTGCTGACCCCCCTCTCCCTTACGAGTGTGACGTCATTTATGGACGACCCCACATCAATTTTTTTTTTAAAAGTCAGAAATTTACTCAAACAAAAAAGGGAAGGATGGTAGATTTACTATGAATTTAAATAACATACAACTCTATAGTAAAATATTTTTTTCAGTTTTAGCAAAACTGTCAAATTAAAAATTACAGAGTTTGTACATTTATTGCATAAATACAAAAATATAAAACAGAATGATTAACAGTGTATCAGTTTCACCATGAGACAAATGCCTTTTTTTTAAAAATACAATACAAATAAACAAGTCGTGTTTTTTTAAATATTCATTTTTATTCATTTGCTAAAACAAAAATACAATACAAAAAATAAATCGTGTTTTCCTAATGTTTTGGTGAGTTTCGGTTGTTAGAATAAAATACGCTCAACTGGAGGTAAACAAGCAACGGAGAATAAAATACGCTGAAATGGAGTTTTACCCAGTAGCCACATATTGAAGTATTTATTTTGGTTCCACAACAACAATGGCAATCAATGCTGACCTGTATGAGTCATCCAAACACCGGGAGATTCACATAAACACACACATGCCTGGGATACATTTTTTTACATCACAAATACCTAGAACAAGTTTAGTGCAAGCAAAATAACTGGCCATTTTGGTCAATCTATTTGCATTTTTCTGATTTTATACAAAATTAATTTAGCAGTATTTTACAAGAAAAAATTCATCTCTGAGAGTATTTTAGACTTAATTTTATGCTAATAATTAACTGCAACACATTTAAAAGTTCATTAAATTTTTTTAGAACTTACAGCAGAAATGATATGCTACAACAGAACAAAAAAAGTCCCAAGTTCAAACCCCTGGCAGATGAGGCTTGATGGCTGGGGACAGCAACCCATCTAGAAGAAAAACTTAAAATCAAACAACTGCTTCCTTGTAGTTTGTTTTTGGGTAGACAAAGGCTATGGAAGCAAATTTAAACAGAAAAGCAGGCGGAAGTTAAAGTCATGGATTTTATGACACCAAACAAGTTGACATGTAACACTTAACTGTGTTGTGGGATAAACTGTCCAGCATTAATTAAGAACAAGGAAAAAGAAGATGAAGAACCTGAAATATCCTAAAATAGAACTTGTAATATTTAATATTAGTATACTACATTAGAATAGTAAACAACATTAAAACTAGGAATATCAAAGACTACCATTGGAATGAAAAAATGAAAACATTGCCGCTAAAAGAGAGGTGAATTACTCATGTTTCCTTTATGCAACTCTCTGGGGGAGGGAGGAAGGGGGGGGGGGGGGGGTGTACACACACCCTGACACAACACCCCCCCCCCCCACCAAAATAAGTTTTAAAAAACTTAATTCAAATAGACAATGCATATTTCAATAATTCTTAGAATTGCCAGGCCCTGTCCTATTCTTTAAGTTAACAAAACATCTAATAGCAGTCCCACCTGCAGCGTAATTAAATTATCTCTTCTAGTTTCACTCTTGGAAATTATGTCCACATGTATTTTATTAAGTCAGTAGAAGTTGTAAAAATGTAATCAGTTTTCTTCAGAGATAAGCAGTAATAAACTCAGCACCGGAAACTTGATAATATTATAACCCTAAACCTATATATTACAAAAGTTATAATAATGTTAATAATGGCCTTGACCCTAAGGATAGCTATAAAAGGTAGGTCATCTTGACCAAGCACCTAAATGTAAGTTATAGAGGCAGATTAACTGGTACCTAAAGGTAAGTGATGAAGGCACATTACCTGGTACCTAGAGGTAAGTGATGAAAGCAGGTTACCTTGTATCTAAAGGTAAGTGAAGGTAGGTTACCCGGTACTTAAAGGTAAGTGATGAAGGCAGGTTACCTTGTATCTAAAGGTAAGTGAAGGTAGGTTACCCGGTACTTAAAGGTAAGTGATGAAGGCAGGTTACCTTGTATCTAAAGGTAAGTGAAGGTAGGTTACCCGGTACCTAAAGGTAAGTGATGAAGGCAGGTTACCTTGTATCTAAAGGTAAGTGATGAAGGCAGGTTACCCGGTACCTAAAGGTAAGTGATGAAGGCAGGTTACCCGGTACTTAAAGGTAAGTGTTGAAGGCAGGTTACCCGGTACTTAAAGGTAAGTGATGAAGGCAGGTTACCTTGTATCTAAAGGTAAGTGATGAAGGCAGGTTACCCGGTACCTAAAGGTAAGTGAAGGCAGGTTACCCGGTACCTAAAGGTAAGTGAAGGCAGGTTACCCGGTACCTAAAGGTAAGTGATGAAAGCAGGTTACCCGGTACCTAAAGGTAAGCGTTGAAGGCAGGTTACCCGGTACCTAAAGGTAAGCGTTGAAGGCAGGTTACCTGGTACCTAAAGGTAAGTGATGAAAGCAGGTTACCTGGTACCTAAAGGTAAGTGATGATAATGCTGCGTTGTGAGGCGAGTTTGTTGGCTGCTGACGAGACACTGGTCGTGGAAGAGTACTGGGAGGAGAGGGGCTGGTGGGAGTCAGGGTAAAGTTCATGGGCAGACAGCACAGACTCATCAAAGTCAAGGACGTTGGTGTTGACTGCTTTAGGCAGGTGGTGGCGGGGTAGGGGGCGGGGTGACTGCTTGGGGCTTGGGATGCTTCTCCGTGGTGGAATGGGTGGGGCTCGGTTGATGTGTTGACCTGATGCCCACATGGGTGTGATGTAATCGTTGTTAAGCTGGGAGAGCAGCCTTTCGTGAGGCTTAGGTGGTAGGGGCGGGGGCTCATCTTCTGGATAATTCTCCTGGTTGATGAAAGACATGTTGTAAGCTTGTCCAACATCCACTGTGGTGTCGGCCACATCAAGACTGGTGTCAGCCACATCAAGACTGGTGTCAGCAACAAGACCTGTGGCGGTAACTATTGGCGTATTGCACATTGGGGGAGAAGATTTGAAGGATTTGGCAGAAGAGGGGGTGGGTGAGGAAGAGAGTTGAGCAGAGTTGGTTGAGGCGCGTTTGAAGATGGCGGGTGGGCGTGTCTGCTGCAGTGACTTGATGCTGTCGTGGACCGGCTGGTGGATGAAGCCAGACTTGTTGACGGCGTTCATCAGGTGCTGGGGGAGACCGTCACCCCTGGGCAGCACCGTTTCCTCCCCGTCCCTGCCACCTGTCACAATGATGACAGAGTCTGCCCCCTCGTTGTTCTTATCATAGCTCGCCTCGGCTGTGTCGTTGTGAGGTGTCGCGACAGGATAACTCCTTTTCTTATCTTTTATTTTGGTACTCTCCCTTTGTTTATCATTTATGTTGTCTCTTTTAATTTTGTTGAGTTTAGTATACAGTTGATCAATATCAACTTCTGCTGAATTGTTTTCTGCCTTTTTGGTATCTGTAATATGTGTGTTGTTTGGTGAAGTATCAACATTATCAGCGTTAGATTGACTATGCGTGTGTTGATCTGCCATAAGCTGCCTCACGTTATCAATGTCCTCATAATCACTGTTGACCTTCTTGCGAGGCACCTCTGCATGAACCTCTGCGACTGTCGCGTAAACGTTTGACCTTGACCCTGACGACCTGCCAGCTGTGATAAAGGCTTGATATTTGCCGCTCCCCGCCCCACGCCGCAGCGAGTGTTGAGCCTGGTCAATGTCCAGCATGTTCATCAAGCTCAGACTTTCTTTCCTCAGGGCTCTAGAGAACTCCATGGCCGAGTAGCCGTCCTCTAGCGAGACGTTCCCTATGGAGTCGTCGCTGTCTGAATCATCGTCAGACTCATCCTTCCTCTCTGGGCTCCAAACACTCTCCTGCTGGCCTCTCTCTGGACTCCAGACATTCTCCTGCTGACCTCTCTCTGGACCCCAGACATTCTCCTGCTGGCCTCTCTCTGGACCCCAGACATTCTCCTGCTGACCTCTCTCTGGACCCCAGACATTCTCCTGCTGACCTCTCTCTGGACCCCAGACATTCTCCTGCGGGCCTCTCTCTGGGCTCCAAACACTCTCCTGCTGACTTCTCTCTGGGCTCCAGACACTCTCCTGCTGACCTCTCCCCTGTAAGACCAGGTCATCTGATTCCCCCTCCTCCTGATCACTGCAGACATCCTGCAGATTACCGATATCATTATCTGAGCCGACCAGAGTCCCCTGGTCATCGTCCTCCATCTCGCCAGGTGAGTCCCGGTCAGCAGGGTCAGCGGCCATGTTTTTTGTACTGTTCAGGTCACCCAGACTGCTGCCCCACACCACCCGGCCGTCTCTCATAGAGTCGGTCAGGTGCACGTCCACGCCCAGGTTGACCAGGACTTCGATGCTGTGGGAGGAGGTTCTGGCAGCGGGGAAGATGTCCCGCCTGGAGGCGTGCATGGGGGCAGACTGTATCGAGTCCAGGCTGGCCGTGCTGCCGTGGGCCTGCGCTCTGGCCATCTGCATCTGGTGGAACAGCAAGGCGTCCCTGTCAATGTTGGCGCTACTGACGAACGGCTTGACGAACTCGTCCTGTGAGATGATGGAGTCTGGCGAGAGTGGCCTGGTGTAGATCTCAGGGGACAGTATCAAGTCAGCCTCTGATGTGGAGGAATCATTCAACTCGTTCCCTAGCGGGACAGTAGAGTTCCTGAAGCGGTACAGCTCGTCCAGCTCATAGTAGATCCTGGTATCAATAGAGCTGATGGACTCCGTGGGCGAGACGTTGAAGCCTCCGTTTGGTGATAACTTATTGTAGGGGTCGTCATCAACATCATCACTGCTCCTTGCCTCAGGTATGTTTAGACGTGGCAAGTTAACCCTCCTGTGGGAACGTTTGGCCTCACCATCTGTACCAGAGTCATTGACCTCTGTGGCAGCACCCAACATGCTGGAACCAGAGCTTTTAGCATCAAAACCTTGTTTTAATCCCGTCTGTTGATCATCAGAAACTGTACCAGAGTTTTCAGACGGCACTCCACTGAGTTTGGCCCCTGTCTGATTATTGTCCACCACTGGCCCAGAGTTCTCCTCCATGTTGCGTTTCTGCAACATATTATCTTTGCTCGAGTATGAGGAGCCCTTCTTTCTGTACAACCTTTTATCGTCCACCTTTATGTTCTCATCACTGGTACTAAGACTGGATTTGTGCCTGAGAGAACTTTTCCTGTCTGCCATCAAAGCCTCTGGGAAAACATTTCCCAGACTTCCAGGAAGTGCTCCCACCTCTTCATTAGAGGGAGAACCTCTTAGAGAGCCAGACTCTAGCAACTGTGTTCTGTTGCCTTTGTGTTTCTTGGCATGCCCTGACCTGTCTATGATGACGCCATTCAGTTCTTCCACCTTTGGCACCCCATCCCTGAACTGTAGGATGTCCTCTTGCTTAGTCAACACCTGACAATATAGATAGAGCTGATATAACACCTGACAAAAGTAGATAGAGCTGATATAACACCTGACATATAAAGTAGATAGAGCTGATATAACACCTGACAAAAGTAGATAGAGCTGATATAACACCTGACAAAAGTAGATAGAGCTGATATAACACCTGACAAAAGTAGATAGAGCTGATATAACACCTGACAAAAGTAGATAGAGCTGATATAACACCTGACAAAAGTAGATAGAGCTGATATAACACCTGACAAAATTAGATAGAGCTGATATAACACCTGACAAAAGTAGATAGAGCTGATATAACACCTGACAAAAGTAGATAGAGCTGATATAACACCTGACAAAAGTAGATAGAGCTGATATAACACCAGACAAAAGTAGATACAGCTGATATAACACCTGACATATAAAGTAGATAGAGCTGATATAAATCTGACAAAAGTAGATAGAGCTGATATAACACCTGACAAAAGTAGATAGAGCTGATATAACACCTGACATATAAAGTAGATAGAGCTAATACAACACCAGACATATAAAATAGATATAGCTGATATAACACCTGACATATAAAGTAGATAGAGCTAATACAACACCAGACATATAAAGTAGATAGAGCTGATATAATACCCAGCCCATATAAATGCATTCTTTTCTTTGGGGGTGGGGTGACATGACATTAGGTGACACTATGAAGTGCCACATCTGTTGACAGTCTACCTAGTGACTAAAGTTAATAAAAAAATGAAAGGCTACCTTCAGCTGTTCTTTTTCACTCTTCCTCTGTGCTCTCATCATGTCCTTGATCTTTAACCTTTCACCTTGTGTGAGCATGAGCCTGATCACCAGGACTGCGATGTTTTCCCTGGACCCATAGCCCTGGGCTAAGTCTTGCAGGTGTTTGGCTGCTATCACTGGATCTGGACAATCCTGTTGGTGGGATTTTAAAAAATATTTCATTTCAATATATATTCTTTTGTAGACTTGTTCCATATTTGATACAAAATGAAGTTTTACTATGTAGACTTGCTGCATATTTGATACAAAATGAAGTTTTATTATGTAGACTTGTTGCATGTTTGATACAAAATGTAGTTTTATTATGTAGACTTGTTCCATATTTGATACAAAATGTAGTTTTATTATTTAGACTTGTTCCATATTTGATACAAAATGTAGTTTTATTATTTAGACTTGTTCCATATTTGATACAAAATGTAGTTTTATTATGTGGACTTGTTTTAGTTTGATGATTCGCTATATTTTATTGACATATTCTTATGCCAAAGTGGTTGTTGTTAACCTAGACATAATCCACCTCAACTACCGCCACCTCCTGTAGTGCTCTCACCCCCACCCCTCTCATACAACTTACTTTAATCTCTCTGGCAGCCTCGTCATATGACACAAACTGCCAGAGCCCTTGGTTGGCGATGATGACAAAGTTGTCATCTGGTGTTAGAACTGTGGATGTGACATGTGGATCAGGGATGACATATGGATACAGGTAGCTGCAGCCCAGTAGTCTGGTGTTGGTGGTCACCCCTGCGATGCGGCCGTCCTGCACAGATGGTCAACATTCAGGTTTGGTTAGATTTTTATTACACAATCTAAACCTACACAATCTAAACCTACACCATCTAAACCTACACCATCTAAACCTACACAATCTAAACCTACACCATCTAAACCTACACCATCTAAACCTACACAATCTAAACCTACACCATCTAAACCTACACCATCTAAACCTACACCATCTAAACCTACACAATCTAAACCTCCACAATCTAAACCTCCACAATCTAAACCTACACAATATAAACCTACACAATCTAAACCTACACAATATAAACCTACACAAACTACTGACATGTGATAACTGTCAATACCTCAGTGATGATCCCCCTTGAGGAGACAACCCTACCTCAGTGATGATCCCCCCTGGGGAGACAACCCTACCTCAGTGATGATCCCCCCTGAGGAGACAACCCTACCTCAGTGATGATCCCCCCTGAGGAGACAACCCTACCTCAGTGATGATCCCCCCTGAGGAGACAACCCTACCTCAGTGATGATCCCCCCTGAGGAGACAACCCTACCTCAGTGATGATCCCCCCTGAGGAGACAACCCTACCTCAGTGATGATCCCCCCTGAGGAGACAACCCTACCTCAGTGATGATCCCCCCTGAAGAGACAACCCTACCTCAGTGATGATCCCCCCTGAAGAGACAACCCTACCTCAGTGATGATCCCCCCTGAGGAGACAACCCTACCTCAGTGATGATCCCCCCCTGAAGAGACAACCCTACCTCAGTGATGATCCCCCCTGAGGAGACAACCCTACCTCAGTGATGATCCCCCCCTGAAGAGACAACCCTACCTCAGTGATGATCCCCCCTGAGGAGACAACCCTACCTCAGTGATGATCCCCCCTGAGGAGACAACCCTACCTCAGTGATGATCCCCCCTGAGGAGACAACCCTACCTCAGTGATGATCCCCCCTGAGGAGCCAACCCTACCTCAGTGATGATCCCCCCTGAGGAGACAACCCTACCTCAGTGATGATCCCCCCTGAGGAGACAACCCTCTTGGTATCCTCTTTGTCCTCAGCCACAAGGAAAGGTCTGGACAAGACATGGGCCCTCTTCTGTCTGTACAGCACAGCCTAAGGAGGGGGGGGGGGGAGAGAGATATGTAAACATCAGACTTGGTGATTGATGTGTAAAGGCTTAGAAAAACACCAGCACATAGCACTGAGAGTTTGTACAAAGGGAGGTAACTCACCTGTGAATCTCCAACATTGGCAACAGATAGGATATTACTTCCCCTGTCGTCTTTATGAAGATGAACAACTACTGCAGCAGCTCCCAGTTTCTGCCCTTGGTGCTTCAGGTTTCTACAAGACGAAAATTTTATTCTAAAGTCTGGTCACACAATACATTTTTAGCACGCATCAGATGGGTCAAGTTTCTACAAGACCAAATTTTATTCTAAAGTCTGGTCACACAATACAATTTTTTGCACACATCAGATGGGTCAGGTTTCTACAAGACCAAATTTTATTCAAAAATCTGGTCACACAAATCAATTTTTAGCACGCATCAGATGGGTCAAGTTTCTACAAGACCAAATTTTATTCTAAAGTCTGGTCACACAAATCAATTTTTAGCACGCATCAGATGGGTCAAGTTTCTACAAGACCAAATTTTATTCTAAAGTCTGGTCACACAATACAATTTTTTGCACACATCAGATGGGTCAAGTTTCTACAAGACCAAATTTTATTCAAAAATCTGGTCACACAATACATTTTTAGCACGCATCAGATGGGTCAAGTTTCTACAAGACGAAAATTTTATTCTAAAGTCTGGTCACACAATACATTTTTAGCACGCATCAGATGGGTCAAGTTTCTACAAGACCAAATTTTATTCTAAAGTCTGGTCACACAATACAATTTTTTGCACACATCAGATGGGTCAAGTTTCTACAAGACCAAATTTTATTCAAAAATCTGGTCACACAATACATTTTTAGCACGCATCAGATGGGTCAAGTTTCTACAAGACCAAATTTTATTCTAAAGTCTGGTCACACAATACAATTTTTTGCACACATCAGATGGGTCAGGTTTCTACAAGACCAAATTTTATTCTAAAGTCTGGTCACACAATACAATTTTTTGCACACATCAGATGGGTCAGGTTTCTACAAGACCAAATTTTATTCAAAAATCTGGTCACACTAATCAATTTTTAGCACACATCAGATGGGTCAAGTTTCTACAAGACCAAATTTTATTCTAAAGTCTGGTCACACAATACAATTTTTTGCACACATCAGATGGGTCAGGTTTCTACAAGACCAAATTTTATTCTAAAGTCTAGTCACACTATACAATTTTTTAGCACACATCGGATGGGACAGGTTTCCGCTAGATGAAACACTGAGGTCCTACAGACATTTGATAGGTCAAGTTTCTACAGGGGCCAACAGGAGTTATCCTAAGAGTTACCCCAAAAGTTAAACAAGTGTTACCTTATGAGTTAAACAAGAATTAAACAAGTGGTACCTTAAGAGTTAAACAAGAGTTAAACAAGATTTACCCCAAGAGTTAAACAAGAATTATACAAGAGTTACCCCAAGAGTGAAGCAAGAGTTACCCCAAGAGTTACCCCAAGAGTTACCTGTGAGCTGAGAGAAAGCTATACTTGAGGTAGACCTCTGGCCTCTTGCTCCTGATCCTCTCCTCTGCCAGCACCAGTGGGATGACGTCACGCAGCAGGCTGGACACAACTTCGTTCCTGCCTCCATCAAAGATGGCAAACAGACCTTCACCGGGTTCACCAAACTGTGGCTTGTTGATGGCTGATACTGACAATCTAAAGGCAATCACCATGTTTACGTATTGGATTATCAGCTTTACAACACTCATCCAGCAGATCAAGTAGAGTTCATATGCCAAGGTCATTAAAAGAGATGAAGCAACAGTGCGGTCAGCACTATGCCCAGCTGACTTTGTTTCCCTAACATGAGTCAGGTACCCATCAGAGCTGGGTGGACGGATGTCACAAGATCTGAACTTGAGAGCTTCCAATGCTCTACCATTCTACCACCTTCCCCACATATTAGACAATAAATACACTTGTACTAAACCATAAATATATTTTGATGTTTACACATTTGATGGAGTAATTAGTACACCAGTATTAATGCCTACAAAAGTCAGAAATTCTTTTTTTATCAAAATATGAATCAATCTAAAATTTAATTTGTGTAAGAAATTTACAATGTTGTTAAATTAATGAAGACTTAATGCTGAGCTAAGTGTACACATTACACTGTATATTTCATGGCATAACTGCTGCAAGTGCATTGGTTTCAGTAAGTTTGAACTAGCTGTACTAAATGCAGAGGTTTCATACTTGTTTCTTATTCCTGATGTTTGGGACAACCCAGTCTGCCACAGATGCTCATCATTTATCTCCCCTTGTGACCTGAGTTCATCAAGATTACAGTTCTGTCCCCTGATATCAACCATACTTAACTTCTTGGAACTTCTGAAAATCAAATATTTGTCCACCAGAATAAAATTTGCACTTCAAAGCATCAAATTAATTTATATTTTAAACTACAAAATTATATGTCTGAAAATATGTAGGCCTACAATTTTAAGATTCAATTAAAATAAATTATTTTTAAAATCTATTTAAAATAAATGTCTTTTGATTTAATGTCAGGTCCTGACTCTTTAATTATAAATTTACATGTAGCAGGAAACCAAAGCCTCTGTCTCATATTTAGCCTAAACAAAAAAATGATTGTAAAAACTGTGGACTCACATTGCAGCCTGGACATCATGTGACTTGAGTTCTATGTTGGGATTGGCTGAAATATCAAGCTGAGCAATCTGAGAACTCATCAAATTTGTCATGTTTACCTTCACTAGGTGGTTGGAGCTCACCTCCAATACCTGCAACACAATGTGGGTGTACTTTAGTAAGGTTTACAGTATTGCTTGGGTGTACTTTAGTATGGTTGACAGTACAGGATGGGTGTACTTTAGTAAGGTTTACAGTATTGCTTGGGTGTACTTTAGTATGGTTGACAGTACAGGATGGGTGTACTTTAGTAAGGTTTACAGTATTGCTTGGGTGTACTTTAGTAAGGTTTACAGTATTGCTTGGGTGTACTTTAGTAAGGTTTACAGTATTGCTTGGGTGTACTTTAGTAAGGTTTACAGTATTGCTTGGGTGTACTTTAGTATGGTTGACAGTACAGGATGGGTGTACTTTAGTAAGGTTTACAGTATTGCTTGGGTGTACTTTAGTCAGGTTTACAGTATTGCCTGGGTGTACTTTAGTAAGGTTTACAGTACTAGATGGGTGTACTGTAGTATGGTTGACAGTACAGGATGGGTGTACTGAAGGATGTATATTTTTCTGATGAGAAAATATATTTACATGTAGACCTACACAGTCTCATGTATATAATGAAATAAATTTGATGTAGACCCTATCTAGAAGTTGAAAGTAAAAGAAATCAAATAAATGAAGGATAAGTTTATGAAAACTATGAAGACACAAGAGGGAATAAAAACAAGTTAATTTAAAAAGTCTAGTGACATTTGTGCGCAATTTCCTTATGTTATCTAAAAATAGCTCTGACGTATAATGCTGGGATGCGTTCAAGCTAGAAGAACGATCGGTTTGTAGGTGTTTATGTAATTTTAAAATTTGTGACCGAACGAGAGGATATTTTTGAAAACTTTCTTCGGCAATATTGTTCTAAATTATGACAGGAATCGATTGGTACATGTTTCAAGTCGCTAAGTCGTCTGGTTGCCGAGATATGGGCCAAAAAACTGAATTTTTTCGAGGTTTTTTGGCTTTTCCGGGAAATACATGAAAGAAACCCGGAATTTTTATGGCCTATGCTCATTCTCGTAACTTGCTTAACATAATTGCTTTTGGAACTAGTCATCGATATTGCTTCGTTGAGGAGGAGATACGACTTAAAGCCCGGACACACATTCATCCATACATTCATTCATCCATCCATTCCCAGAAATGACGAGTTAATAAACGCAATTCTCCAGAATGGAAATTGCGCTAAAAAATTAAACCTTGAGAGCAGAAGAGTTTTTAAAGGCAGGTAACTCCTGTAGCAAGTTGCAATTTGCTCTTAACACTTGAAGTTTAGGGTGGCGCCCCAGTGCAGCAGGGAGGTAAGTTAAAATATTCCCAGATATATTGAGCTCTGTCAGCTGTTCCAACTTCTCTATGTCCCTGTAGAGAACCAAATGCTAGACTTATACAACTAACCATATTCTACAGGCATTGAAGCAAAATTAAAAAATTACCTCAATTACTTTATGCCCTTAAAGTATTAAAATTAACTTAAAAATATATTAATCCAATGAATTTACTTGCAAAGAGACGTACACTAGTAGAGATTACTTAATCTCTGCATGACTTGAAAACAAAGGGTAAGAGAAAGGCAATGTGTGACCGTGACTTACGTCTCCTCTAGAACCGTCAGCTTGTTTTTGGCCAGGTGTAGTACACGTAGCCGGGGGAAGCAACAAATTTTGTGCAGACACTCGTTACCCAGGAGGTTAAAGGACAGGTACAGCTCCTGGAGTTTGTTGTAGGAATCATTTTTGTTGGGGGCTGGCAGGTCACACAGCTTGTTCCTGGTCATGTTGAGATACCTCAGTCTAGAGATACAAGGGCAGGTTGGTTAAATACCTCAGTCTAGAGATACAGACAGGCTGGTTAAATACCTCAGTCTAGAGATACAAGGACAGGCTGGTTATATACCTCAGTCTAGAGATACAGGGGTAGGTTGGTTAAATACCTCAGTCTAGAGATACAGACAGGCTGGTTAAATACCTCAGTCTAGAGATACAGACAGGTTGGTTAAATACCTCAGTCTAGAGATACAGACAGGCTGGTTATATACCTCAGTCTAGAGATACAGACAGGTTGGTTATATACCTCAGTCTAGAGATACAAGGACAGGCTGGTTATATACCTCAGTCTAGAGATACAGACAGGTTGGTTAAATACCTCAGTCTAGAGATACAGACAGGCTGGTTATATACCTCAGTCTAGAGATACAGACAGGCTGGTTAAATACCTCAGTCTAGAGATACAAGGACAGGCTGGTTATATACCTCAGTCTAGAGATACAGACAGGCTGGTTAAATACCTCAGTCTAGAGATACAAGGGCAGGTTGGTTAAATACCTCAGTCTAGAGATACAGACAGGCTGGTTATATACCTCAGTCTAGAGATACAGACAGGCTGGTTATATACCTCAGTCTAGAGATACAGACAGGTTGGTTATATACCTCAGTCTAGAGATACAAGGACAGGCTGGTTATATACCTCAGTCTAGAGATACAGACAGGTTGGTTAAATACCTCAGTCTAGAGATACAGACAGGCTGGTTATATACCTCAGTCTAGAGATACAGACAGGCTGGTTAAATACCTCAGTCTAGAGATACAAGGACAGGCTGGTTATATACCTCAGTCTAGAGATACAGACAGGCTGGTTAAATACCTCAGTCTAGAGATACAAGGGCAGGTTGGTTAAATACCTCAGTCTAGAGATACAGACAGGCTGGTTATATACCTCAGTCTAGAGATACAGACAGGCTGGTTAAATATCTCAGTCTAGAGATACAGACAGGCTGGTTAAATACCTCAGTCTAGAGATACAGACAGGCTGGTTAAATACCTCAGTCTAGAGATACAGACAGGCTGGTTAAATACCTCAGTCTAGAGATACAGACAGGCTGGTTAAATACCTCAGTCTAGAGATACAGACAGGCTGGTTAAATACCTCAGTCTAGAGATACAGGGGTAGGTTGGTTAAATACCTCAGTCTAGAGATACAGACAGGCTGGTTAAATACCTCAGTCTAGAGATACAAGGACAGGCTGGTTAAATATCTCAGTCTAGAGATACAGGGGTAGGTTGGTTAAATACCTCAGTCTAGAGATACAGACAGGTTGGTTAAATACCTCAGTCTAGAGATACAAGGACAGGCTGGTTAAATATCTCAGTCTAGAGATACAGGGGTAGGTTGGTTAAATACCTCAGTCTAGAGATACAGACAGGTTGGTTAAATACCTCAGTCTAGAGATACAGGGGTAGGTTGGTTAAATACCTCAGTCTAGAGATACAGACAGGTTGGTTAAATACCTCAGTCTAGAGATACAGACAGGCTGGTTAAATACCTCAGTCTAGAGATACAAGGACAGGCTGGTTAAATACCTCAGTCTAAAGATACAGACAGACTGGTTAAATACCTCAGTCTAGAGATACAGACAGACTGGTTAAATACCTCAGTCTAGAGATACAGACAGACTGGTTAAATACCTCAGTCTAGAGATACAGACAGGTTGGTTAAATACCTCAGTCTAGAGATACAGACAGGTTGGTTAAATACCTCAGTCTAGAGATACAGACAGGTTGGTTAAATACCTCAGTCTAAAGATACAGACAGACTGGTTAAATACCTCAGTCTAAAGATACAGACAGACTGGTTAAATACCTCAGTCTTTAAGGACAGACTGGGTTAACATAACATAACCCCAAAGAGTTTATTTAAAACATTACCATTTTAAAAAAAGATTGACATCAGTTGATCTATATTTACATTAAGTTATGTAACTATATTATATTTAATTTTTTATAGCTTTGAAAAAAACATACAAATATAAAAATATTTTAATTTAAATAAGTGATCAGTTACCTATATTAATAAATTTTAAAGTTTTAATCAACGTTATTTTTTCAGTTTTGTATTTTAGTATTAACGTTATTATTTTTTCTGTTTTGCTTTTTAATCTTTTGTGTTGTCAATCTATTTTTTTTTTAAATTTATTGTGTACACCTGAAATTAAACAAGGGGACCACACAATTTAACCTGAAAAAACCTTGACATTTTTAATAGCTTCCCCTTGTTAAAAATCGTGGCTACACCACCCACAGATATGCCATGATGAACAGCTGTGTTGACAAATGTTTGATCCCATTGTGCTGAAGGTGAAGCTCCCCCCCCCCACACACACCACCCACCTATGTGCCATGATGAACAGCTGTGTTGACAAATGTTTGATCCCATTGTGCTGAAGGTGAAGCCCCCCCCCCCCCACACACACCACCCACCTATGTGCCATGATGAACAGCTGTGTTGACAAATGTTTGATCCCATTGTGCTGAAGGTGAAGCTCCCCCCCCCCCCCACACACACACCACCCACCTATGTGCCATGATGAACAGCTGTGTTGACAAATGTTTGATCCCATTGTGCTGAAGGTGAAGCTCCCCCCCCCCCCCACACACACCACCCACACACACCACCCACCTATGTGCCATGATGAACAGCTGTGTTGACAAATGTTTGATCCCATTGTGCTGAAGGTGAAGCTCCCCACCCCCACCCCCCCACACTCCCCCCACCCCCCACACACACCACCCACCTATGTGCCATGATGAACAGCTGTGTTGACAAATGTTTGATCCCATTGTGCTGAAGGTGAAGCTCCCCACCCCCACACTCCCCCCACACTCCCCCCACCCCCCACACACACCACCCACCTATGTGCCATGATAAACAGCTGTGTTGACAAATGTTTGATCCCATTGTGCTGAAGGTGAACCTCCCCCCCCCACACACTCCCCACCCCCACCCCCCACACACACCACCCACCTATGTGCCATGATGAACAGCTGTGTTGACAAATGTTTGATCCCATTGTGCTGAAGGTGAAGCTCCCCACCCCCACCCCCCACACTCCCCCCACCCCCCACACACACCACCCACCTATGTGCCATGATAAACAGCTGTGTTGACAAATGTTTGATCCCATTGTGCTGAAGGTGAAGCTCCCCACCCCCACCCCCCACACTCCCCCCACCCCCCACACACACCACCCACCTATGTGCCATGATAAACAGCTGTGTTGACAAATGTTTGATCCCATTGTGCTGAAGGTGAAGCTCCCCCCCACCCCCCCACCCCCACCCCCCACACCACCCACCTATGTGCCATGATGAACAGCTGTGTTGACAAATGTTTGATCCCATTGTGCTGAAGGTGAAGCTCCCCACCCCCACCCCCCACCCCCCACACACACCACCCACCTATGTGCCATGATGAACAGCTGTGTTGACAAATGTTTTATCCCATTGTGCTGAAGGTGAAGCTCCCCCCCACCCCCCCACCCCCACCCCCCACACCACCCACCTATGTGCCATGATGAACAGCTGTGTTGACAAATGTTTGATCCCATTGTGCTGAAGGTGAAGCTCCCCCCCACCCCCCCACCCCCACCCCCCACACCACCCACCTATGTGCCATGATGAACAGCTGTGTTGACAAATGTTTGATCCCATTGTGCTGAAGGTGAAGCTCCTCCAGTGTGTCGCTGCGGATCTTGTCTGGCAACTGTGTCAAGTGGTTGTGATTGGCTCGGACATTTTTTAATTTCGTAGCGTCTGTGAACAGCCTGTGACCAGATATATAAAGCTGATTTATGGTATGCATAGATGTCTCACCCATCAGTTTGTCTATCAGCTAATTAATTTGACTGGGTTACATGATAAATATAACATGCAATAAAATGTAGTTAAAACGCAAATTTACAAAATAATTTAAAATTTCAATAAAAATAGCATTAGCTGTAGAAATGTGAAGCTCTTATAATTAATATCCAAGCTTCTAAAGTAGAAATCCTTTCCCAACTATTCTGGAGCTAGAAAGAAAAAGATTGTTTAGGAATATCTGCAGCATACCCCACATGCTGGCTGAAAGAAATTTCCCAGATCTTGCCCACATAAAATAAGAAAATCTATGCATTTATCTTTGACCACAGAAGTAGAGCACTTCCTTCTTGTAGTGCATGGTTTTTGTTCTAAATTTAACAGCCCCTGAAATAACCCAAGTTGGGTTTACAAGCGGACATTTCCTGCAAGTTATGGCCAAACATAATTCCCCCATTTCAAGCCAACTTTATGAGGAGAAAGAGTTGTCTGCCTTACCTTTCTGGCAAAGCTTTCAGGCTGTTGTGGCTTACATTCAAATCTAGCAGGAAAAAACAATCAGAGAGCCAGGCTGGCAACTCAATTAGTTTATTGCTGGGGATGGAAAAACTTGGCTCAATGTTGGCTTACTATATTGGGTTACTGATGTTAAGGCTAAATATTGGGTTACTGATGCTAAAGTTAAATATTGGGTTACTATATTGGGTTACTGATGCTAAGGCTAAATATTGGGTTACTGATGCTAAGGCTAAATATTGGGTTACTGATGCTAAGGCTAAATATTGGGTTACTGATGTTAAGGCTAAATATTGGGTTACTGATGCTAAGGGTTATGGATGGCAATGTAAAAATGTTATATGAAAATATATTTGGAAAATTAAAAAAGAAATTTGTTAAAATTAACATATTAATTTCATCCACATTAACCACTTACTATGAAATGTCCATATTAACCACCCACTGATATAAAAACTTACTATGAAATGTCCATATTAACCACCCACTGATATAAAAAACTTACTATGAAATGTCCATATTAACCACCCACTGATATAAAAACTTACTATGAAATGTCCATATTAACCACCCACTGATATAAAAAGCTTACTATGAAATGTCCATATTAACCACCCACTGATATAAAAACTTACTATGAAATGTCCATATTAACCACCCACTGATATAAAAAACTTACTATGAAATGTCCATATTAACCACCCACTGATATAAAAACTTACTATGAAATGTCCACATTAACCACCCACTGATATAAAAACTTACTATGAAATGTCCATATTAACCACCCACTCTGGTTTGGGACTGATCATCAAACTTTGAAGAACTGAAAGACAGAAAATGAACATTGTCAGCTAAATTAATCTTAATTTATTAATTTATAAAAAATCTTTTTAATTTTATTTTGATAAAAGAAATAATTAGAAAAAGTTTTTAATTAATTCATTAGGGGTTCAGCTTAACACAATTAACGCTGGCCAGATACAAAAAAATTGAGCAAATAGCTAGCAGCACTTGTTTTTTACCAACAAAACCTGATAGGCAAAGCAGGGAGAACATCAGGCAGAATAACAGGCAGACAGACAGACAGACAGACAGACAAACTTTTGCTTATGCGTAGGCAGTTTTATTTCATTTTTTCAAAATGGCTGACAAAGCACAAAGTTCTAGACTTGGAATAATCATGCGGTTATTTTTTCCCATGAATAAATCAATATATTCTAATCATGTAAAAAGCCAGACTGCATCTAAAAATGGTGTGATACAATGTTAATGCTATATCTAAAACCTTTGAGTAAAAAGTTGATTCTTGTACTAGGCAACAATCTTAGACCACTCACAATTGTGTGCAGCATACAGGTGTTTTAAGGCAACAATCTTAGACCACTCACAGTTATGTGCAGCATACAGGTGTTTTAAGGCAACAATCTTAGACCACTCACAGTTATGTGCAGCATACAGGTGTTTTAAGGCAACAATCTTAGACCACTCACAGTTATGTGCAGCATACAGGCGTTTTAAGGCAACAATCTTAGACCACTCACAGTTATGTGCAGCATACAGGTGTTTTAAGGCAACAATCTTAGACCACTCACAGTTATGTGCAGCATACAGGTATTTTAAGGCAACAATCTTAGACCACTCACAGTTATGTGCAGCATACAGGTGTTTTAAGGCTGAGCCATTCAGTTGCATTGTCTTGATGAGGTTCCTGTCACAGTTCAGATATTCCAGGCATCTCAGAGATCGGAAATCTAGTTCAGTGACCTACGTTAGAACAGGCATTATTTTAGAACAAAAAAAAAACAACTGGAAACAAGGCCAGTCACTTATATTAAAACGTTTATTCAAATAGACATTTGAAAACAAGATTGAAACAAGATTGAAAGGTTAATCAAAAGCAAATAATTATTTTATGAAATATGATCTCTGATGTTAGGTTAAATCCAGCTGCTTATATTTTATCAAAAGGACAAAGCTTTTTTGCATCTTTAAGTGAGCATTGTTTTAGAGACGAGACTGGGTTAAAATCTTTAAATTTTTTTTGTTTTGATAAACCTTTTGGTTTTTATTCTATTTTTATATTTGTTTATCTATCAACTTTTACAAAATAAATATATTAAGTGTCTATTAGGTTTTATTTTTTAAATTTTCAAAGTTTTGGTTTTCATAGAAAATTGTTATTTAACACAGCTCCATTTCATCCTATTATTCTTGTATCACTTAAAGACAACAAATATAGTTTGCCTAATTTGTATCATTGTATCATTTTTACCAGAGTAGGCTTATCTTTGTAAAAACTTGGCAATTTAAAAGTAAGATAAATAAACCGGGAGTGATCTCCCCTAAACTTTCTCGAATATTCTTATATAAAATAACAGGGGATGGGAACTCGGGCTATAGACATGATTTTTAATCCATTTTAAATACTTAAAGTATTAAAAATAGAATAAAATCTCGTAGACAAATTAATTGCACACCAAGTGAACGCCAAATAAAAAAGCGCATAATAGTTTTTTTTGAGAAATCGGAAGTAGCGTAAATTACTACTTCCGGTCAATGGAAATTACTCAAAATTAAACAGAAGGTAGAGAATTAGATCTTTTACTTACATGTGAAATTTCATTTATCTATCTGAAATAGTACTCAAGTTATTGGCTTTTGAAAAATTCAAAGTAGAAAAAGTACCACTTCCGGTTATCGGAAATCGCTCAAAAGTTGATACGGATCTACGATTTTGATAAAATACTTATATATGAAATTTCATCAACCTAGCTGTAACGGTACTCAAGTTATCGTGTTTACACACGGACAGACACACACACAGACATACGGACAGAATTGCAACGCCCAGTTTTTCAAACTGGATTACGCATAAAACCTCTTAATTTTGATAAATCTGGATTGATAATTTTTGCCCGATTAAAATAAGTCCTCTATACTTCGGATGTGATGAAGGACTGAGGTGTTATACGGTAAAAATTGTTAAAATTTCAATTGATTTTTGTGCACGATTACAATACTTTCTCTATACTTCGTATATACGAGAAAGTAAAAACCTGAATAACTGACAGTAAAATTATAAAAACCTGTCTACCTGATTGTCCCAAAGATTATAAAAAACCTGTCTACCTGATTGTCCCTAAGATTATAAAAAACCTGTCTACCTGATTGTCCCTAAGATTATAAAAAACCTGTCTACCTGATTGTCCCTAAGATTATAAAAAACCTGTCTACCTGATTTTCCCAAAAATTATAAAAAACCTGTCTACCTGATTGTCCCAAAGATTATAAAAAACCTGTCTACCTGATTTTCCCAAAAATTATAAAAAACCTGTCTACCTGATTGTCCCAAAGATTATAAAAAACCTGTCTACCTGATTGTCCCAAAAATTATAAAAAACCTGTCTACCTGATTTTCCCAAAAATTATAAAAAACCTGTCTACCTGATTGTCCCAAAAACTATAAAAAACCTGTCTACCTGATTGTCCCTAAGATTATAAAAAACCTGTCTACCTGATTGTCCCTAAGATTATAAAAACCCTGTCTACCTGATTGTCCCTGATGTCAACATGAGTGACGTGCTCTAGACTCTGGAACTTGACTGTTTCTGCTGGCATGATCTGGAGTTGGTTTAGCCTGAGGTCAATTTTTTTGGTGCGCGCCATGTAAGCCAGCTGGTCAGGGGGTAGTCGGGTTATGTGGTTCCCAGCCATGATGATGCTGTCAACCTGCATCACAAGCTACAGCTATAATTTCATTTCTTTAGGTCACTTACTGCTGTTGCAACAACAGATCAAACAAGAAATATTTGCAGGATCTGAGAACATTATAGTGAACCCACCAGTAAATAAAGAAAGATTGTGAACCCACCAGTACACAAAGAAAGATTGTGAACCCACCAGTACACAAAGAAATATTGTGAAACCACCAGTACACAAAGAAAGATTGTGAACCCACCAGAAACAGAGCCTGCTTTGGCTGCAGGAGTAATGTGGGTATCTGTGAGAATTTGTTGAAGGCTAAGACCACCACAGCCAGCTTCTTCATCAGTGTCAGCTCCTCCGGTAGGCTGGTCAGTCTGTTGTTGTGGAGGTGTAGGATCTGTAGGCTGGGGACATAAAGTATTGTGTACATATATTTTTGGAGGTGGAGACTGGGGACATAAAGTCATGTGTACACATATTTTTGGAGGTGGAGGCTGGGGACATAAAGTATTGTGTACACATATTTTTGGAGGGGTAGGAGACTAGGGACATAAAGTCATGTGTACACATATTTTTGGAGGTGGAGGCTGGGGACATAAAGTATTGTGTACACATATTTTTGGAGGGGTAGGAGACTAGGGACATAAAGTCATGTGTACACATATTTTTGGAGGTGTAGGCTGGGGACATAAAGTATTGTGTACACATATTTTTGGAGGTGTAGGCTGGGGACATAAAGTCATGTGTACATATATTTTTGGAGGTGTAGGCTGGGGACATAAAGTCATGTGTACACATATTTTTGGAGGTGGAGGCTGGGGACATAAAGTCATGTGTACACATATTTTTGGAGGTGGAGACTGGGGACATAAAGTCATGTGTACACATATTTTTGGAGGTGTAGGCTGGGGACATAAAGTATTGTGTACACATATTTTTGGAGGTGTAGGCTGGGGACATAAAGTCATGTGTACATATATTTTTGGAGGTGTAGGCTGGGGACATAAAGTCATGTGTACACATATTTTTGGAGGTGGAGGCTGGGGACATAAAGTCATGTGTACACATATTTTTGGAGGTGGAGACTGGGGACATAAAGTCATGTGTACACATATTTTTGGAGGTGGAGGCTGGGGACATAAAGTCATGTGTACACATATTTTTGGAGGTGGAGACTGGGGACATAAAGTCATGTGTACACATATTTTTGGAGGTGGAGGCTGGGGACATAAAGTCATGTGTACACATATTTTTGGAGGTGGAGACTGGGGACATAAAGTCATGTGTACACATATTTTTGGAGGTGTAGGCTGGGGACATAAAGTATTGTGTACACATATTTTTGGAGGTGTAGGCTGGGGACATAAAGTATTGTGTACACATATTTTTTGGAGGTGGAAGCTGGGGACATAAAGTAATGTGTACACATATTTTTGGAGGTGGAGGCTGGGGACATAAAGTAATGTGTACACATATTTTTGGAGGTGTAGGCTGGGGACATAAAGTATTGTGTACACATATTTTTTGGAGGTGGAAGCTGGGGACATAAAGTTATGTGTACACATATTTTTGGAGGTGTAGGCTGGGGACATAAAGTATTGTGTACACATATTTTTTGGAGGTGGAAGCTGGGGACATAAAGTATTGTGTACACATATTTTTTTGAGGTGGAGGCTGGGGACATAAAGTATTGTGTACACATATTTTTTTGAGGTGGAGGCTGGGGACATAAAGTATTGTGTACATATATTTTTGGAGGTGGAGGCTGGGGACATAAAGCTATGTGTACACATATTTTTTGGAGGTGGAGGCTGGGGACATAAAGTATTGTGTACACATATTTTTTGGAGGTGGAGGCTGGGGACATTCATGTGTACACATATTTTTGGAGGTGTAGGATCTGTAGGCTGGGGACATAGAGCAATGTGTACACATATTTTTGGAGGTGTATGATTTGGAGACACAAACCCACCCACACAATCCCCTCCACACACGACTCCTACCCTCACCCTACACATATCAACCCCCACCAGCCCCCAGTAACTCCCCATGACTCCCACCCGCACCAGACCCCCCACACAAACCCACCAGACCCCCCCCCCCCCCCACACAAACCCACCAGCCCCACGTACTTGGTCAACTCAGCGATCTGTGCGGGGATCTCATCCAGCTTGTTGCTAGCCAGGTTGAGCTCCATCAGAGATCGGATCTGGCACAGCGAGGCGGGGAAGCTGGTCAGTTGGTTGTCTGCCAGGTTCAGACTCCTGAGACCGGTGAACCGTGGCAGGTCATCCAGCCAGCCGATGGTGTAGATGTCCTCCTCTATGGGTCGCTCCTTCAGGGCGTTGTGACGTAGGATCAACGTGTCCAGGTCAGAGTTGATAAAAACTGTTTCCGGTAAAAATTCAAGATGGCAGTTGGAGAGATCAGCTCGACTTGGTAGCTTGGCCGTCGCCTAGAAATTTGACATCAAAGATTGACATAACAGCTGGACATGATATTGGACATAGGGATCGTCCATAAATGACGTCACACTCGAAGGGGGGAGGGGGGTCCCTAATTTTGTGACGGTGTGTGATGAGGGGGAGGGGGGGGGGGGTTCAGATGGTGCGACGTCACACTTTTGCATTATAAAAAAAGATAATGTTAGAAAAAAGAATTTTAGACGTTATTTCGCGTTTTAGAAAACTGTTTTAATAAATTGTATTCGAAATTGATTAAAATACTCTATTTTGACAGAGTTCATACAAGGTTTTGGAAAAATACCGATGTTTAAAAAAAAATTCAACTGCAATTTTGAGGGGGGTTGTAGGCTGAGGTGTGACGTCATTTTAGGGGGGGGGGGAGTCTGGCATTTTGTGACGATGTTTGACGGAGGGGAGGGGGGAGGTAAAATCGTCAAAAAAAGCGTGACGTCATTTATGGATGACCCCATAAAAGATGGACATGATGTTGGGCACAAAAGATGGACATGATGTTGGACACAAAAGCTGGACATGATGTTGGACACAAAAGATGGACATGATGTTGGACACAAAAGATGGACATGATGTTGGACACAAAAGATGGACATGATATTTGACATAAAAGATGGACATGATGTTGGACACAAAAGATGGACATGATGTTGGACACAAAAGATGGACATGATATTTGACACAAAAGATGGACATGATGTTGGACACAAAAGATGGACATGATGTTGGACATAAAAGTTGGACATGATATTGGACTTAAAAGATGGACATGATGTTGGACAAAAGATGGACATGATGTTGGACACAAAAGATGGACATGATGTTGGACACAAAAGATGGACATGATGTTGGACACAAAAGATGGACATGATATTGGACAAAAGATGGACATGATGTTGGACACAAAAGATGGACATGATATTGGACAAAAGATGGACATGATGTTGGACACAAAAGATGGACATGATGTTGGACATAAAAGTTGGACATGATATTGGACTTAAAAGATGGACATGATGTTGGACAAAAGATGGACATGATGTTGGACACAAAAGATGGACATGATGTTGGACACAAAAGATGGACATGATGTTGGACACAAAAGATGGACATGATGTTGGTAACAAAAGATGGACATGATGTTGGACACAAAAGATGGACATGATGTTGGACATAAAAGATGAACATAAAGCCTGCAATGTATCGTCTAACCTTTTTAATTTTCTTGAACCATTTATTGTAGTCGTCTTGTGAAACAAATGACATGTACATTGACCTCTCGCCCTGGTGGGTGCTTGTTATTTTTAGAACAAGAGACTGGCCTTTAATGGTCACCTCCTCCACGGCACCTCGAGCTAGCTGCACTACAGTGGGTTCTGTCCCCTTCTCTGGAACCAACGCGACGAGAAAAAAAAATGATGTACCTCGCTCGCTATGCAGACTCACGCGTCACTCTATTTTAGAAGGTTTCTTACCCACCCCTCCCCCCCCCCCCCCCCCCCATACCGATCATCCAACGTCAAACAGAAGTGTGCACTTTAATAACAATTATTTCTAGGAAAAAATATTTGTCATTTTTTTACTGTGAAATATTAGACCAACTAACTACACGTTTCTTAACCTCACTTCCCCTTAAATTGTCACCTGCCTACGTCATATTTTAGCATCCCCCTCCCCCATTGTGACGTCATTATACACGCCCCCTTGTCTAAAACAGTGCAGCCCTACTGGCTGATTTCCTCTCTGCATATCCCAGCCTCCATGCTCTTAACTTGATCATTCGCCTGGCTAACCTGGCCATCTCATTTAGATCCTCTTTAAGGCATCTCGTGGTGCACTTTAGGGCAGGCTGCTTCGTCCCCCAGCCCCACACTTTAGGGCAGGCTGCCTCGTCCCCCACCCCCACACTTTAGGGCAGGCTGCCTCGTCCCCCACCCCCACACTTTAGAGCAAGCTGCCTCGTCCCCCACCCCCACACTTTAGGGCAGGCTGCCTCGTCCCCCACCCCCACAATTTAGGGCAGGCTGCCTCGTCCCCCACCCCCACACTTTAGGGCAGGCTGCCTCGTCCCCCACCCCCACACTTTAGGGCAGGTTGCCTCGTCCCCCACCCCCACACTTTAGGGCAGGCTGCCTCGTCCCCCACCCCCACACTTTAGAGCAGGCTGCCTCGTCCCCCACCCCCACACTTTAGGGCAGGCTGCCTCGTCCCCCACCCCCACAATTTAGGGCAGGCTGCCTCGTCCCCCACCCCCACACTTTAGAGCAGGCTGCCTCGTCCCCCACCCCCACACTTTAGAGCAGGCTGCCTCGTCCCCCACCCCCACAATTTAGGGCAGGCTGCCTCGTCCCCCACCCCCACACCTAGTAAACAATCTCGTGTTGTTTCACATGACAGTTTTACAGTAGCGATTTTAAAAAAAAAGCAACTACTCTCTTTAATTAAATTTGGCCTCATTTCCGTCAGTTTTAAAATCATTATTCTACATTAGACTAATTAGGAACAAAAACTGTGTGGAAATCTTTCTTGTTTGCTTGGAAAACTTGTCTTAATAAAATTAAGTCTGATCAAATGAGAATATATTGCACGTGAACTGAGTACCTCTGTGTATGAGCATCCTTGTACCCGAGATTACACACAGTCGTCTCACCCACTGGTGGAGCAGCTTGCCCTTGCGGATGTAGGCGTAGGTAGACAGGTGGTTTCTTGAGTAGGTGAAGTCAGACAAGGAAAGTGGTTTACCTACAGGGATAAAAGGTGGTTTCTTGAGTAGATGTAGTTTACCACAATGACATTTGTAAATGTAAACAATAAGGTAACAAAACTGGGCCAATAGTTTTTAACATCGCTTTCTCAGCTTTTATTCAAATAAATATTAAGACGCTCCTCACAATCACACACACACACACATGCTTTCATACAAACACTCCACATTTCTACCACACACTAACCCACACACGATCTCCCACACTAACCCACACACGACCTCCCACACTAACCCACACACGACCTCCCACACTAACCCACACATGACCTCCCACACTAACCCACACACGACCTCCCACACTAACCCACACACGACCTACCACACTAACCCACACATGACCTCCCACACTAACCCACACATGACCTCCCACACTAACCCACACATGACCTCCCACACTAACCAACACACGACCTCCCACACTAACCCACACACGACCTCCCACACTAACCCACACACGACCTACCACACTAACCCACACATGACCTCCCACACTAACCCACACATGACCTCCCACACTAACCCACACATGACCTTCCACACTAACCCCCACACGACCTACCACACTAACCCACACATGACCTCCCACACTAACCCCCACACGACCCCTCAGCGTTATTGGTCAGCCATACTTTAATGTGAGCGGGTGAATGGATTATTTATTTTGTATTAATATATTTGTTGCGAATCTGCGAGTGCCTGGTGATCCAATGGGGAGCGGCCACGGAGTCCCCTTCCGTCCGAGCGGTCAGTATAAATTGATCGGTCGGACGATTTTCTTCCTTTTTTTGACCCGAGGCGAGATGTAGGTCGGGTCAGGTTTCGGTTTCTGTGCGGGCGCACCGCACGCGTGGAGGTATTTGGTTTTTATACTTTATCTTTATGTGATTTGTATGAATGCGACTGCCGTTGTGTTCTCGTTTTATTTCTTTTTCGTCTAAAACGAGATAGTGGGCATCGGCATGTCTGGTATGCACGTGGTGTGTTATTTTGAATGATTTAAAATGTATATTTCATATTTTCTAAACCCGTGGCGTGTGTTTCGGACCACGTGGTTTAGGCCAGTGTGTTTAGGAGTGTTTCCTAAACTTGTGTGAATGCGTGTGTGCATTTACTTGATTGTTTTATGATGTGTTATTGACTAGGATTGGCTTAGTCAATAGTCGGTTGTTTTAGACAGTAATTAGATTAGTATATTTTAGTTGCCTCGAGTTTTAGGTTGTTTAAAATTAATGTGTGTGCTGTTTCGTGCAACGTCGTATTGAGTATCGCTTGCTTTGTGTCTGCCTTCATTGGGGCCTTAGCGGAGTGTGTTAACTTAATGTTATCAATATAGATGTTGTTTATGTAAACCAATGGCTTCGGGCTTCCTTGTGTAGGAAAGATTGGTTCTACGATGAATTTGTTTACACGTTATTTTTAAGTTGCTAGTTCTTCTTTAGACAGTGGTTAGTTGTTTTTGAGAATTGCTTTTAGAATTGTATAGTAAGGATTAGTTTTACTCGAGGCTTTAGCTAGATAGTAGTAGTAGGTAGCATTTTGAACTTGTGTATATATTTATGTATATATCTGCCATTACCATGCATTTTTCTTATGTTTTCCTTTTCTTTTTCTCTTCCCCCCCCCTTCCAGTGAGGTTGTTTGGGCAACTTGGCTGGGTGTTTTGTTATATATGGATTGTTTTGTTATATATGAATTGTTTTGTTTGGTGTAAAAAGTTTGTTGTGTACGTATTGTGTTCTACGTAATGTATTGTACGTAGTGGTTTTACGTAGTGTTTTGTTTGGTGTGGACTTTTGGGATGTCGAGAATGGATGAAGGGAGGTTTCTGTGTGTCAGGGCCTGGACCATCCTAGACATCATAAGTCGGCGCAACACCAGCAAATGGTCAAACGTAATGTTTTGTTTGATGTAAAAAGTTTGTTTCGTTTGGTTCTGTTTTGTGTCAGTTTTATCTATTCTTTTTTATAACTTTTGGTTCCATGCAATAAATTTTTATTAACTGTAAAAGTTTTTGTTTTATTTTAGTAGCTTATTATTTAGACTAAGGTTAGGTTTAACCACTGTGGGTTCTACCACGGTTGCACTGACCGGACAGATTAGTTAGTTAAGCCTAGAAGGGTAGATTTTAGGTACCCCCCCCCCCCCTAGCAGGGCTTACAAATTGGTAGCACGAGTGGGGTCAGTGCTTTAGTCTAGTTAAATTTTTGTTTTTTTGTACTAGGGCTAGTGTAGCTTAGTTAAATTTTTCTTGATAGGCCCTTTATGGAACCATTTGTGTTTAGTTTTTGTGTAGTGTAGGAATTGTTTGTTGTTTAAACACCCAGTCAGGTTGGCGGAGAGACGTGCCTCGACGAGCCTTCAGTGTGCGTGGCTGGACAAGCACGGCGTGTGGCACTGGACCTGGCGTGTGATGAAGATGGCGGCCTCGTGTGGTCTAGACTGGACAACACACACGGGCGTGGCGCGGATCTGGTGTGTACGGCAGACCGGTGAACAACGAGAGGCAGTGACGTCAATTCCTTGACCCACAAAGAGGGCTACTGGACACCCGCCCCACAGGTGTGTCGAAGCGGAGGCACGATCATTGGGGGCGGGTAACAGTCGGAGAGCCAGTGGGGCAAGGCGGTTGCGTCAACACCTGGCCCAACCAAGTGGACGCTCCCCACCAACGAGAGGCCAGTGACGTCAATTTCTTGACCCACAAAGAGGGCTACTGGACACCCGCCACACAAGTGTGTAGAGGCGGGCAACAGCACGAGAGCCAGTGGGGCAAGGCGGTTGCGTCACCACCTGGCCCAACCAAGCGGACGCTCCCCACCAACGGAAGGCCTATGACGTAATTTCCTTGACCCACAAAGAGGGCTACTGAACACCCGCCCCACAGGTGTGTCGAAGCGGAGGCACGATCGTTGGGGGCGGGTAACAGTCGGAGAGCCAGTGGTGAAAGGCGGTTGGTCATCTCCGGACCGACCTAGCGGACGCTCCACCGGTGTGCCTACGGTGACGCAAGACCAGAATGCGTGTACAGATGAGACGTTGCAACGGCGTGTCATTAGTAGCGGGAGGGTCTAGGCTGACCCTCCCCCCTTGTCCTTCTGGATGAACGACCGACAGGACTAGTAGCGCGAATCAGCCCTCAGTGAAGGGAACACTATCTTGGTGCCTTGAGTTTTTTTTGGAAGCACAGAGACGCAAGATTAATGTTATTGTACATTGTTTCTTTTTTTGCATTCAAGCTTATAGGCTTGGTGTAAGAGATGGGTGCATGTTTTATTTTAAGATTGTTATATGCATTTTGTCTTACAGGGTCTGTAAGATTTTAAAAAGGGGTGAATGTGAGCGGGTGAATGGATTATTTATTTTGTATTAATATATTTGTTGCGAATCTGCGAGTGCCTGGTGATCCAATGGGGAGCGGCCACGGAGTCCCCTTCCGTCCGAGCGGTCAGTATAAATTGATCGGTCGGACGATTTTCTTCCTTTTTTTGACCCGAGGCGAGATGTAGGTCGGGTCAGGTTTCGGTTTCTGTGCGGGCGCACCGCACGCGTGGAGGTATTTGGTTTTTATACTTTATCTTTATGTGATTTGTATGAATGCGACTGCCGTTGTGTTCTCGTTTTATTTCTTTTTCGTCTAAAACGAGATAGTGGGCATCGGCATGTCTGGTATGCACGTGGTGTGTTATTTTGAATGATTTAAAATGTATATTTCATATTTTCTAAACCCGTGGCGTGTGTTTCGGACCACGTGGTTTAGGCCAGTGTGTTTAGGAGTGTTTCCTAAACTTGTGTGAATGCGTGTGTGCATTTACTTGATTGTTTTATGATGTGTTATTGACTAGGATTGGCTTAGTCAATAGTCGGTTGTTTTAGACAGTAATTAGATTAGTATATTTTAGTTGCCTCGAGTTTTAGGTTGTTTAAAATTAATGTGTGTGCTGTTTCGTGCAACGTCGTATTGAGTATCGCTTGCTTTGTGTCTGCCTTCATTGGGGCCTTAGCGGAGTGTGTTAACTTAATGTTATCAATATAGATGTTGTTTATGTAAACCAATGGCTTCGGGCTTCCTTGTGTAGGAAAGATTGGTTCTACGATGAATTTGTTTACACGTTATTTTTAAGTTGCTAGTTCTTCTTTAGACAGTGGTTAGTTGTTTTTGAGAATTGCTTTTAGAATTGTATAGTAAGGATTAGTTTTACTCGAGGCTTTAGCTAGATAGTAGTAGTAGGTAGCATTTTGAACTTGTGTATATATTTATGTATATATCTGCCATTACCATGCATTTTTCTTATGTTTTCCTTTTCTTTTTCTCTTCCCCCCCCCTTCCAGTGAGGTTGTTTGGGCAACTTGGCTGGGTGTTTTGTTATATATGGATTGTTTTGTTATATATGAATTGTTTTGTTTGGTGTAAAAAGTTTGTTGTGTACGTATTGTGTTCTACGTAATGTATTGTACGTAGTGGTTTTACGTAGTGTTTTGTTTGGTGTGGACTTTTGGGATGTCGAGAATGGATGAAGGGAGGTTTCTGTGTGTCAGGGCCTGGACCATCCTAGACATCATAAGTCGGCGCAACACCAGCAAATGGTCAAACGTAATGTTTTGTTTGATGTAAAAAGTTTGTTTCGTTTGGTTCTGTTTTGTGTCAGTTTTATCTATTCTTTTTTATAACTTTTGGTTCCATGCAATAAATTTTTATTAACTGTAAAAGTTTTTGTTTTATTTTAGTAGCTTATTATTTAGACTAAGGTTAGGTTTAACCACTGTGGGTTCTACCACGGTTGCACTGACCGGACAGATTAGTTAGTTAAGCCTAGAAGGGTAGATTTTAGGTACCCCCCCCCCCCCTAGCAGGGCTTACGGGCTTACATTAAATGAGATGGGAAACTTTTAATCTACATGATGGAGTGTATGACAGACGGCATCAATTCTAGTCACAACACTGGCGTATACGGCCCCAGTTGGTGGGCGGGGTCAA